CGGGCGGCCCCGTGAGGGGAAGGGGCTCGGGAGGGAGCTTGATCAGTGTGAGGAGAAGGATTTGGGGGAGGGCTCTGTTCAATGAGGTGAAGGGACTCGGGGGTCTTTCCTTAGTGAGCTAAAGGGATTTGAGTGAAGGGGTTCGTGGGGCTCCCCTCACTGAGGTGGAGGGACTCAGCGGTGCTGGCCCAGGAGGGGAGTAGGTTCGTGGAATTGGCCCGTGAGGGGATGGAGTTTGGGGAAACCGATTCGCGTCGCTGGTCCGTGAGGGGAAGGGGTTCGAGCACCATCCCGTTCGTGCTGAGGCGCTGTTTCTGAGGGCGTGCAGCGACGAGATGGGGGCACCCTCTGTGTGGGGACTGTGGCAATGGCGGGCGCTGCCCCACAGGTCTCTCTGTCTCTGGGAGAAGTGGAGTAGAATATCTCCGGTGTAGAGTGGGCCCTGTGAGCAGCAGGAGCACCAGCCCCCGGTGGGTGCTTGCCGCCCCTTACCCCAGCAGTCCCGTGCTCTCCACCGGAGCCTGTGCAGATGGCGAGTGAGGTGTGTGTCCCCTCCTGTGGGATGCCTCTATCCATGTGGTGTCCAGCTTCCTGCAGCCGCCCTCCAAAGTGTGCTTCAGGCAAGGCTGGCTTTAGATTTATCCAAATGTCGAGCTGCGTGAGGTGTGTTAGGTAACGGGATGGGAAGAGGGATGATGCTTGGGGTTTTTCTGTGGCGGCACAAACTCAGCAGGTTATGGTTGTTCATCTCATTGCTGCCTGGAGGGGCAGAGAACATGCTTGCCAACTTTCACGTGGAAAAGCTCCTACCAGTGAATGTTCTCTCTACCTACATATGCATATTTTTCAGTCTTACCTCCTTACTTGGAAAAGCCCTGGCTATAGAAACTCGGGACTCGCTTGTACCAGGAGGCTACTATTAGGAAGTATTTAAGTACCTTCTAGGAACAAACTTTCATTTTCATTCAACTTTCAGTTGAAGCAGTTACTTTGTTTTTGGGAGGGCATTGCAATGGTCAATGAAACTTGTTATAGAAGTGATACTTTTGATTTGTGGAATGCCCTCTGGGTGGCTTCCAAGGAAACTATAGCTTTACTGGGGTGGTGTTCTCCTGTGCTGCGGCTGGGGGTATGGGGGGGATGCTTAAGCACTTTTGTAGAGTTTTAAAAGGAAAAAAAGTAGTGTTTTGTGGTGTGTAGACTGCTGGGGAGTAGTGGCTAAATTACCATTGGTGCGAAGTTTTTATCTAGCAGGCAGGTGCTGTGCTGTTACTATAGTAAGTCATAAGAAGGACACTTAACTAGCTTTTTGAAGCCTTTGTTGGCTTTCTAACTTCACAGATAGTGTGTGTTCAGCCATGTAGCTGCTGGATGGGGCTCAAAACCTGTATTTCTTCCACGGGTTTTTTTAAATCCATACCTTCTGTAGGGCACAACAGTTTAAAGTTGGGCATCTGTAGTCATCTCCAAAAAATTGCCAGTGCAATGAAAACCACAACATGCTTGAATAAATAAATACAATTACACATACTTACACTGTTCTAATTGTCTGACCAATTCTAGGAGTGCAGTGGGGATTGCAGTCCCTCAATCTTCATTTTGTGGGTGTGTGTTATGTGGTTTCTTTATTTTTTTTCTGGGACAACTGGAGAAATCTTGTATTCAAAGACACATTTGTGTTTTGGGCAGAATCTCAGAGGATGCAGGCAGGTGTGGTGCCAGATCAGATCCTGTGTGATGTAATACTGGCTTAATGTGATGTATTACTGCGCTTAATTCCTCAGTCAAGTTTCTTGGAAAAATTTCTGCAGCATTTAAGGCTTGAAGAGCTGGAATGTGAATGGTCTCTTTTATATTTTATCACGCCTAAAAGGAACTGCATCCTGTTAACATCTGTGTCAGGGTGGTAACAGTGCTTTGTTTAATTCAGCTTGTTTGTCTTGCTCTGGTGGGTTGGCCTTTGCAGAGTGACTGTAATTGAAGATAGCACTGGAGCTGCTGGGATTCAATTTGAAAGTGATTCCAGTAGAATGCACGGGCATAGCAAGCTGTTGGTGAGTTAAAAGCAGGGCTGTAACTCTAGCACTTAGAATAAACAGTTCCTATGTGTGTCTTGATGTTCTAGCTAGCTCTGGTGTTCAAAACAAACTGATGTAAGAGACCAAAAAGTCAGATTCTTTTAACTCCTGCTTGTGCAGAGGGTTCACTTCTATTTTCTTTGTGTATGTACGTAAGAGACAAATGTTTAAACCTTTAAATTATTTTGCTAAATTAATGTTAATTATTCTGGGAGTCGATGCAGCTTCACAATTTCATCGGGTGTTGGTAATGCCCCAGATTGCAACGTGGTTTTAATAAATTGCAGGAGTAACAAACACAGCAGGGGTTGGCTCTGCCAGTTTGTTTGCTAAATCCTGTGCTTGGGTAGGGGAGAGTTCCTGCCTCATCACTGTTATCTCAAACAACACATTAATTTTTTCTAGAAATAGCCTTCCTATCTTTCTGCAAGTTGGGAAAACCAAACTCTTCCCATCTCCTTTCTGTTAGGAGCCAGGTGAAGGCTGGTTCAGAAATTGAGAAACTGGCAACTCAGTGAAATGCAGCTGTTTTAGCAGGGTGGGTGTATCTGATTACAGCTTTTCTCCCACACATGCTGTCAGGAGTTGTAGTAAGCTTGTGCTTGCTGTTTTGTTGCCACTGTTCCCTGTCTGATGGCTCCTTTATTAGATGTTCAGTCTGGTATTTCGGCCTTGCTGGAATCAATAGAAAAATTTGCTTGGGTTTCAGGTCAGCAGTGTGGCCTGGTAGTGATAAAAGCTAACTGCACACTAGGCTGGATCAAAAGGAGCATAACCAGGACATCAAGTGAAGTGATTCTTTTTCTCTGCTGGTCACTCAGCAGCTGCATCTGGCACACCGTGCCTGGCTTTTGGTCCACCACCACAAGAAAGATGTGGAGAACCCTGTGCAAGTCCAACAGAGCCTGTCTTTAAGGTGAAGGGACTGAGGGAGCTGGGCTTCTTCAGCCTGGCAAAAAATAATGGGTGAGGGTAGACCCAGCAGCACCAACCAAAGCAGGGAGTGGGTATGGGCAGAATTAAGTAACTTAAGTTTTTGTGGTCTATTTGCTCTTCACAAGGGCCCCACAATTTGTGGGAGTTAACGTATTTTGAATGCTTTTTTAATCCCTGCACACACTGTTTGGGGGTGATGGGCTGTGCCCCCAAGGTCTGAGAGTGTCACAAAATAAAAGCTATGTGGATAGGTAAGCAGTACTTATTAACTTTCACCCCAAAATTAGAGAGATCTTCCTTTTACCTTTTATGCAGTTTTTTTTACTCTTTAAAGCTTTTTTGTTTGCTTTTGGATATTCTTCCTGTAAAATTTTCCTTAGCAGATCATCTCCTATAGCTCAGTCAATTTGGTTTTTCAGAACCAGAATGATTTTCTTGGGTGGTGTTGCCAGCATTAGGGGTTGTTCATCTGGGAAAGCTGAGGTTCTGATAGAGGGACGAGGCATACAAATAAGAGAAAAATATCAAGTTGGTGTCATAATTTCTTGACTGATGAAGTAGGACTTGTAAATGGAAAGACCAGGGAAGAGAATAAAATAGAGCTGGGAAAATAAGGCAAAGAGAAGGCAGGTGTTGAGTGAGGCTGAAGTGAAAGGAATGAGGCATTCACAGGAAATTGCCAGCTGTAAATTTTCAAGGATGTCTGGGCAACACACAACTGAAACAATCTGCTAATGTCGAGTGTCATTGTAAACAGCTCCAGCCTCCACCTCATCCTTCAGGAAAGGTCCTTTCCCCATCCAGGTCTTTATGGGGGGCGTGTCCTGACTGCAGAGTTCATTTTACCACACTGTGTCCAGGGCCAGAGCTTTCTTCCCAAAGCAGGGAATGATTCCTTGTAGTTTCCACTTTCTCCTGCAGCTGTCCCACTTTGTTCTGGGATTATTGATGTGATAGGACCAGGAAATATATTTGGCTAATGAAAAGAATGCAGAGAATTTGTTCTGTCCTTCCACTCTTGCTTGGTGTCATTCTAGAAATGGCAGAACTAATCCTGCCTGAGCATCCCTCTTCTCACTGAGCATCTGCTGCCATTCTTAATTGTTTTATTTTTTCTTTGGAAGAGCTTCTAATGTACTTTTTTTATTCTTTAATTACTTTTGTTTGACTCCACCTTTACCATGTCTTTGGCCAAACAAGTTTTGCATTTAATTTCATTTATTCTTATGTGGAAGAAAGCAACTGTCTGTTTTGATGAATGTCCCAGATCAATGATTTCTGAGAGGCTGGATGTAAGAAGAATATTAACAGCATTTGCAGATGATCATAAGCCAGGTGTTACAAACACAAGAAGGAAGAAATAATGCAACATAATCTAAAAATCTTGGAAACGGGAAATTGAATGTAACTGAGTGGAGAGAAATAAAACCTGATGTGTCCTTGTGGGGGTTGGGGGGTGGTGTGGAAAGTTCAGTCCAAGGGACAACTTGGAAAATAGAGCTGAGGGAGAAAGTGGAGAGCTAATTAAATATTCCTTTGCTTGGTGACAGGGCAAAGGAAAGGACAACATAATTAGGGAGTAGCTGTGGGCATTGCTTACAACAGCAGCAGGGTAGTGGCCTAAAGTAATTTCAAGAGCACTCAGAATATTTTAACTGAACCTGGGTATCTCATTATCAATGTGTTTTAAACAGATGGGCACAATTTCAGAGGCAACTGGTGATTATCATTTGAGAGAGTAAAGGTATGAAATGTGTAAAACATGACTGAGGAAAAGCCAGGTAGGGATATATTCATCAATAAACTTCCTGAAGTGATGATCTGTTAATCAATTGATGAATGTTTTGAGATAATTAAAATAGCCCTCAGAAAGGTTTAGGCATTGAGCTTCAAACTGTAAAATAACTTTTCATTGTATGTACAAATCAATTAAAAACAGATTCTAAGAAGGAACTGGAAAAAAAACACTGGGAAAAACCACTCTGTATTACAGGGAGCAAATTCTCCATCTGCAGTCTTTTAAAGATCCCATCTTTTTGGTGTCTTACTGATAACTGGATTCTTCTGTTAGCCAAAGCTTTCTTGCCATATTCATGTGAATTGTGTTGATGCTGAAATGAGGTCAGAAGGCAAAGGTAAGAAATTTCCCCCTCCCTCTAGTAAAGTTCAAATAAGTGAGTTTACAAAATCCTTACTGAAAAAAGTCTTTAATGTGGGGCTCTATGTAAACAAGTGAGCACAGTGAGATATGAATATTCCTTTTGCACTGTGTAGCTAAAGTAATACTCATAACTTAAGAGAAATCAGGTGTTCTTCAAGAAATGTTTAACTGTAATAAACTTGGCACAAATTCTGTTAGGCTCAGCTCTAGGAACAATTCTAGAATCTGCAGCTGTGAACCATTTTCTGTGATGCTGTGACTCAGTCAGGAAGATGGTGTGAAGTCTGCTGTGTGTCCCAGCAGAGCTGTTCTGCTGACACAGGGACTGCCATAAAGCTATGTTAATAAAATCTTGCAAGGAGGCAAACCCCAAGCTGTCACCCTTTTGTTAAACCAGATCTGGTCATCTCTGAAACATTCATTAGTTCTGGAAGTGTTGGGGTTTTTTTTTTGCTTTTTTGTGTTGTTTTGGGTTTTTTTAATACCTGCTTTTGGTACAATTTCTTAGCTTTATTTTTTTGGTCTAACCCATTGTAACTTTTAAAGGACCTTAAACTTTTGGCTTTTTTAAGGAAAGCTAGTAGGATTTGTGTTCCAAAATATCAATCAAACTGTAAAATTCAGGAATCTGAGCTAAAATATTCCATAGTGTCAGTGCTCCAAATGCCATTGGCAGAGACTATTGATTCTCCCCAATAAACTACACAGTGTTAAATCTAACAATTGTCTCTGGTCAATTGTCTGGTACTTTGGTCCACTTTGTATTTAAAATGGAACTGCTAACTTCATTGTGATAATGACTTGATTTGGGGCACTACTTGATCTTTAAGCTTTTGAGGCAATAATCTTCTCTCTCTAACAAGTAAAATAGCTCCAGATGGCAATTGAGGAATAGCTCGGCTAAAGATGATTGTTTTGTCTTTAGTAAATTCTTGATATTTACAAGATTGGTGAAGCCCTGTCCTCTTTACATTTCAGTTAGGCATGTGATAACTTTCAGCCATGGATCTAAACTGGAAAAAACCCACTTTGTATCCACAGGTAACAGTAATGCCCTTTCTGGAATAACAGTCAGCCTCTTGCACCCTTCTGTAGCTGGGACTGTGGATCAGAGGAGATGAATGCCAGGTAATTAATGTGAGGGTGGTAGGTGTCACTTCCATGGTAATCAGCGGCTTTAGTGGCTGCCAAATTCATAAAGGCATCAGGATAAAATAAAGGTTATGGCTCCAAGTGAAACTGTTTTGTAATTGATTTATCTGAGCTGTATAACTGAGCCTAAATTCCAGAGTGTGCCTCAGCAGCTCCAGGTGTTTTTAATGCATTGCCTTTACCTTCCATGCTGTCATATGTACAACTTGGCTATCCCTTCCCAGTTCTACAGTGAACAGCCTTGAAATGAAAATGTATTCCCCAAGTGATGAACATGGGGCTATAATTCAGAAACAAGCTCCTTTTGTTCACTTCTTTTGGAAATCAGAAACATCTCTTTTTATGTTGGGAAAAGAAAGCTGTAGAAGGATGGAAGGAGTAGAAACCAAATCACTAGGTTTTTCTTGGAGAGGTGATACTAAGAAACAATTTGGTGGAAAATGCAGCTTTCACTTTTGGGCAAATAACACTGTGCTGAAGGAAAAGCTCTCACATGCTTTCCAAGCTTTTTGAAGATGAGCTTGTAGCTTTTTGAATGTATGTAGTATGTACACAATCATCTTCCAATTAATTACGATTCTTGGTTATTAGTTTTTCATGTCTTCACAGTGAACTTGATTTTACACATAGGGGGTTTTTTTTCTGTTTAAGCTTTACCCATTTTTTCACTCATTTCTCTATTTCAGTCCATAAGTTATTGTTCAGCCTTTGGCAAGCTGTATTTTTAAACTGCTGCTCTCTTCTGTCATACCTGTGACTAAACTTAGTCTTTGATCACGTTCCTTTGTGGCTGGTCTTTTCCACTGTGAAGGGAAAATTAGAACTAAAAAAATAGAACTTAAAAAAAAAAAAAAGTATTTCTATCCTTAGAATCCTTTTTCCCCAGTGAACATCCTTGGGAGAATTTAAGGGAGCATCCCTGCAAGCTCTGTGTTCAGGTAGCAATAAGCAATGTTGTAGGTGGGGTAGAACGAGAAACTTGGCATCACAGGCTGAAAACAGCAGGCCTGCCCCAGAAGCTGCCACGCATTCCTTGTGTCACAGAGGTCACCAGAGTCCCGAGGGGCATGTCAGCAACACCTCCCATGGCAAAAGCCAACTTCACTTCTTCCGGCAAGGTAGGATTGGGTCCAAATACCTCCAAGTTACTTCCCAAACTGTGAAAGATGCTGGTGTAGGTAACCAATTTGTCTGTGGGGGTGGGCAGGCCTTTTGTCATTCCCTCTTTCCTTCCAGGACTGCAGCAAAGATGCTGCATGTGTTTTCTTCCTGGGGAATTAGACTTCAATGATTTGGGAAATGCAGGTCTTGAGAGCTGCCTGCACAGAGAAAATGGGTAATTAGAAGCATGTGCTGTGCTGTGAGTGTTCCAGGGAGCTGTCTGGGCCAGAGTGAAAGGCTGGATTAGCACAGTGTGACAGCACTGTGCAGATGCAAACCTGGGGTGCCTTTAACCGTTCTAACCTCATTACAAACTTAGTTGAAAACAGGAGATATTTATTCATAGGGTCTCCAGTTTGGTGCTTTTAACCCTGGCAGGATCTTAGATCAAGATCTGTATTTATATATAACTTTTTGACCAGCCTGTTGCCCACTTATTATTATAAGTTATTATCAGTTATTTCTGAAAACTGACTTTACAGAAAGTAGAACTAAAATATTGGCATTTGACTCCAGCTGTAGGAAAGGTTATGATTTAGTTAGGTGTCACCTAACAGCAAATTAGCCTTAAACCCAATCTAATATGTCCTGGATTGTAGATGGAAAAGGACTTTGGGTTGGTTTCAAGATGCCTGTTAGATTCAATCTATAAAGCAGAAAAAAATTTCTAGGACACTGTACATGAAATAAAATTGCACTTTTCGTCTGCCAAGTCTTTCATTCTTGCTCTGTTTAAAATTGGTATTGTAAGGAGGTAGCAAATGACTTTGTGATGTGTTTCAGCCAAACATGCTAGTGGTTATGGCTGAGTATTGGGCAACTTTTATACTGATTTCTTTTGTTGTTTGTTTTTTTTTTGTGAAGGGGTTCTCTGAGTTTGATGAAATACCCTGTAAAATCTTTAGTTAAATAGAGATGCCACCTCCTCTTACAGCAGAGATATACTTTGCGCTTAATGCTTTCCCTCATGTAAATAATCAGCATGTAACGCTAATATTTTTAATATTAGATTCTTATACAGTGGGAAGAAAGGCATTCTGCTTGTGCTACTCTAAAGATCACTCAAGTATGATCAATAATCCATTAGCAGGAATCTCTGTTCCATTTAACACCACTAACAAGTTTTTCCATCCCTTCCAAGTGTAAAGCAGGACAGAGAAGTAATCTGGAAGGTTAAACTGTGGAGGAAGTCAAAATAGCACCAAAAATAGCTTAATCTAAAGGTACTTAGCAGCAACCACATCTAAATCAGCTGTATTTTTAATGTCTTGTAAGGCTGTCTGTGTCTTCTGTGCAGGGGAATTTCTTCAGTAAATAGTGGAGTATCGTAGCCATGAGTGCAACAAAACTGCTTTACAGAGCTTTACTGCACCACACTCCTCGCCTGGAGGAGCAAGTAATGACAAAGGAGGATACAAGTACTTCAGAGTTTTTAGCTGTGAGTGACTGGCAGGATGTCCAGCCCTGATGATTTAATAGATTAACTTGGTGAATTGGTGACCATGAGTTTTGTCTAGTGTTAGTATGGGATTATCACTTTACTATCATTTGGGACAGCAATTTAAGGTCAAATTCTATTTTTTCTCTGCATCAAGAATCCCACTATGTCCTTATGCACAGGAAGAAGTGTAGGAAAAAGGAATCTTCCTATGGGTGTTACTGTTTGGCACAATCTAAAATATATCTAATGGCTTTTGCTTTTTTTTTCTGGACTGAGGAATCAAGTTTGAAAGCAAACCAACAAAAGAGGCATTCATGGTTTGTTTTTTAAAAGCCACACATTGTCCTATCTTATTCAAAGCAGAATTTTTCTAATAACCAAATTCTGAGTCTGTGTCCCAAAGTTATGCAATAAAAACAATTGTCAGATCTATTATGGTAGTCTAGACACAAAAGGGGAACTCTGGGGCAAACATGGAGATTTTCTCACGGAAAATAGCAGGAAGACTAAATTCTATTCTTCCTTTAAAAAAGTAGTCCAATCTCTAACCTTTCAGAATAGTTCAGTTGTTTTCTTGGCGGGGAGAAATGGCTGCAGTAGATTGTTCTAGAAGAAAATGTGCCATTGTCAGCCCTCCTCTGCTGGGTGGGTGATAAGGGCCTGTAAAAGCCCTGTGTTGTCTCCCAAGTAGTCCAGAAGCAAGGCTTTTCCTCTCCTATATGGATCCTTGTGTGAGTGAGATAGATTAATGGCTTGTCAGAGGAGCATAAACCAAGCTATGGAGTTTAGCTGGAATGAAATGGTTCTGTTTTCAGAAATCCTCAATGGAACAGATTTTCTAAATGGGAAACAAAAGCATCTCCTCAGCTGTGCTGCCTATAGTGGGGACCAAGGAACAACATTGCAAGATGGGCCTGGATTTTTTTGCATCTTCCCATCCTGATCCTACACTTCCCTCTGCCTCCTGACCCCAGGAATGAGATGCACGTAAAGCCAGGGGCTGCCAAACCAGGAGAAGTTTGTTTAAAGCTCACTCTACAGAACAGCAGTAATTTGTGAGCTGGAGCCCATTGCAGATACAAACTGGGTCTCCAGGGGGATGGGAATTTGTTCATGTGAGCTGGTATTTGGGTCACAAGCCTGATGGAGAGGGACAACACAACCCATCAAGTTTGGGAATGGGAGCTGTGAAATGTTACAGCAGTGGGGTCATCCCTTGTGGCTTCTGGTAATTAGATAAAATTTGCTGATTAACGAGGCCGTAGTTTCACATACGCTTTAAGCCAGCACTGAAATCTCACCTGACAAATGTGATTAGTTTTAACCTGGATATGGAGCACTGTGCATGTAGAAAACATTCTTTCCAGTAGGGATGGGTATGGAGCTAGGATTAAGTGGGAAGGAAGGTGCAGGACATGTATATTTCTGGATTTTGAGAATACAAAAAAAATTGAGGGGAAAATAAGACAATGAAATGTATCCTCTTACTTTTGAAGATTTTTATCTTTTCAGTCTCTCTTAATCAGACCTTCAGCTGTACCTTCCATTTTAGGTTAGGTGAGGTCATTCCCAAGAAAATCTAAAATTATGAACTCAAAACCTTTGAGTTCAAGGGGTGTAATTTATTTTTTTCTACAATGCATGGTCTAGCATATTCTAATTTGGGCAGCACTGTTTAAAAGTTCATTAGTGTATGTAAGTAATTAGCAGGCTGGCTTGATGGCATAAAGATTAAACTAAAGGTACATATTGCTGATCTGTGGGATAGATATAGAACCATACAAAGAGCATGCATGGATTGCTGTTTTTTTCCATAATTACTACAACGGTAACACTGAGAAAGCCAATAGGAAATAGCTTTTGGATATAAAATACAAAATGTATCTCAAGACATGTGAGGGAGACAATGAAAATGGTAATCTTAATACAGTAGAAACCATGAAGGAGACAGTTCTGTACAGGATTTAGTCATTTTCCCCAACTTTTTATCTCTAGTGACCTCAATCTTTTTCTGTCAGTTCCACCAATCCTGTAGATGGAGTGGGAGTTGGCACTTTTGAATATTTCTTTCTCTAATAGGAGGAAGGAATGGTGAGAGCAAGGAAAAAGAGCCTAATTGCTACACTGCTGCTGAAGGTAAGGATTGCAGAAAATTACTTTTTCAGTAGCTGGGCAGGGTTGGTGGCACTCACAAGTTCTGGGTGCAGCCCAGTGATCAGCAGAAATGTGATGACTGTGTCAGAAATGACACAAATGTGTGGTGATGAGGCAGGCTGGAGGTCAGGAATCCAGGGAGTCCACTCGAGTCAGGCACAGCAGGGGCAGGACTGAGCACAGACCTCAGGGAAGAACCAAGGAATTCAGCCTGAGCTGAAATGTGTCAGTGGCCAGAGCGTGGGCTGGGGGTCTCAGGGGAGGCTCTTCAGGGAACTGATGCACTCAGGATCCAAACAGACTCTGAACTTCTCCAGATAGCTTTTATTAGCAGGATTGCTTTTTCTATAGGGGGAAAAAAAGCCTGCTTTGCACTTGGATTAAACTTTAGCCACTTTAATTTTCACCCCAGCAGATCTCCCTGTTACAGACAGATGAAGCAGTGCCAAGTGCTCTCACTGAGAACACCTGAACAGCACATTCTTTGTAGAAAGTTTACCCTTCCTATTAATTGAGGTTAATTGTAGCCTTGCAATTGCTACCCACAAGAGGAAAAGAAGAGAGTTTCTACCTCTGAGCTATAATTTGTATTTATAATTTTTTTACTGTGATTGAAGGTACAACAAGTTTTAGGTAGTTGAAGGCACAGTGCACACTCAGAATCAAAGACTGATGACATCCCCCCCTCAGAAAATTTACCAAGTCAGAAAATAACGTAGGAAAAAAGTCTCACAACATCCCCACAAAGTGAGTGCTGAGTAGTCCCTGAACTCTGACTTGCTTATGCTCAGTGCAGAAGAAATATTTTTGACCTGAAACTGTGAAATCAAACATGTTTGCTACAGGACCACTGCAACAACAGGTGAGATGGTGGCCTTGGAAGGCATCCAAGATCAGTGTGTTTCAGGGAGAAGCTGGCAAGGCTCCAAAGAAATAGGTTTTTATTCTGCTTTTGGGGTGCTTGTTTTTCCTCTGCAGATTGTAGCCAGCATTTATCAATTAAGTTATTTTGCATTTATTTTCATTGTTCTGAGACAATAAATTCTCACTTGCAAGAGCTGCTAAAATACTCTAAGTATGGCATTTATTTCCCTTCTTTGACTGGAGAAAAGCTCTTTAGTTTGTAATCACACTTTGAATAGTAGTCTGTGACCCAGGGAAGCTAATTTCAGCAGCAATAAAGGCTGTGTCTTTTGTTCCTTCAAAAAATAAAGTTTTAAGGACGTTGGAAAATTTTTGGAACTTGACCAATCTGTAAATTCAATATGCCTATTTCTGTCTCCCAGCATTGGGAGAAGGAACCCCTAAATCTTCTCAAAGACCTGGAATAGCTTTTATTTTTAAACTAACTTCCCTTTGTGATGTAGTTCATATTTCTTTTGCTAATAAAGAGAATTTTACTGAAGTTTTGGGAAGATAGTAGCCAAATGACTTACCTCTAAATCTTAATGTATGACATTTCTGTGTCCTGGAGGGGTCTGTTCAGCCAGGTTTGCAATTAAACAGCCAACAGCATGAGTATTTTACTGCTGAGCTGAGTAAATCATCAGCTCCATCATCTTGCATCTAAAACACTTGTGAATCTAATAATTATTTTTGTCAGCCAGTCCTTTGTGCTTTCCATCTCAGCAACACTCACTGTCAAATAGCAATTTCACTTGTTAATCCTCCTCCTGTCTCCTGCTGAGGTTGTCTTTTTGGCCTATTTCAGATCCAGCATGTTCCTTCTTCTTTTGACAATGGGATTTGAGTTTTGTTCAAACTCAGTTTTTTCCCAATTGCTTCCTTGGGGGGGTTAGAAAAACAAAAAACAAAACAAATCTGGTTTATGGGGATTCACCTATTGCAAATCTGCCCTTAGTTTGACTCCTGATGCAAAATTCCAACTTGCACTTTGAAGCAAGGTGTTAGGGATGTTGATGTTTCACAATTCACTTCTCTGTCAGCAGTGTTAGGATCCTGGTCCACAAAGTTCCAGGTGTGTCCTGTAAATTTGGGTTTATAGTCTCAGTGCAGGCCTAGCCAAAGTGTTCCTATGCTCCAAGTGCTTTCAGGTTATCCATGCTCCAATCCATTTCTGTGTTTGTACGGACATCTTCATGAGGTACAAAGATACTCTTGGTGCAGCCATCAGAGAAATGTCCACTGCTACCACTTCCCTTGACTCCTGAAGATGCCCAGTTTGTCTGGTTTAGTTTGTGCTCTGCTTTGTGCCCCCCCTCAGGAAATCCCCACTGACAGGATGCCTGGTTAGAAGCAAAACCTCAGCCCTGTGACCCTCCTGTTGCTTTGGAGAGGGGCAGTGGCGGTTTGCTGAGTCTGGAAACACATTTCTCTTATCTCCAGGGCAAGCACAGTGACTGTTGCCTGGTTCCACCATGGAGGACTATCAGTGCTGTTCCATCTTGGTTATAGACATGACTAATCCCTCTTACTACTTTTTATTTTTTCCCCCCAGAGCTGCCAATTAAGCTTTTTCTATGATCATTCTCTAATATAAATCTATAAACAGCCCTACTAGTAGGTATTCTCAGTGCAGCTCATTTCAGCAGAAGTGTGCTACAGAGAAATTGAGTTAGGTGGAGAGGCAGCACAGAGCTTCAGGCAGGAAGGAATTCACATGTCCTGGAGACAGACAGATATTTGCCTTCCTGTTCACTTTATCTCCGATTCCCTCCTCAGCCCTTTGTGGGTAGATTAGAACTGTGAAGGCTGCTATCATTGCCTTCTTCAGCAAACCAGCCCTTCAGAGCAGGAGCAATTCCATTCCATGAGTCTTCCATGGTGAGTTTTAAGATGATGTGCATGGTGAAGCTTTGAGTACAAAGTAACTGGTATTTGCCACCACCAGGTTCTCTAGGATCTCAATTCTCCAGCAGCAAACATGGCTAACAATCACAAGAGACATTTTTCAACTTGTTACTCCCAGACAGAATCCCAGAATGGGTTGGGTTGGAAGAGGCTTTAAAGCCCATCTCATTCCAACCCCTTGCCCTGGGCAGGGACACCTTCCCCTAGATACTGTTGTGGATATCTGAGCTGCTCAGGAATTGAGGCAAACAGCCCAGCTGTCCATAGCAGCAATAAAACTGGAGTATTTACCCTGCAAAATGAGGTTGTCACAGCATTGCTTTGGGAATGTGACACTAAATTTCATGAAGTCATGTGGCTGTGCCAGTATGATTTCTTTACAGTGGTGGGCAGGTCTGTTATTTCTGGGTTTATCTGTAAAATTGTTGCCATCCAAACCTTGTCTTGTCAAATGTTCCAGACTAAATTGTTGCAAATTTAATCAGTTGGGCCTTACACCTTCATCTGGGATAAGCAGGGTTTGGTGTGGAACAGTTCTTCCACTGCTGGCTGAATATTCCCTGCTCTCCCCTTGCATCACATCTGAGCGTGTGGCACAGCCTGGGTTGGGTCAGCAGAGAACAAACCTGCCCAAACCAAATTTGCCTTTCAGATCAACCTGTTGAGGTGGTCTGCACAATCACTGGGTCTCATGAGGGGAGAGGGAGAGGCAAGCACTGCCTGGTGCTTTGCCTGCCTGGAGTTGTCCTGGATTGGAGGAAAAAAAATAAGATGTTCTTCCTATGAACATTTTGGTCCAGGAGCTCCTGGCTTAACGCAGAAAAACATTCTTGCTTGTATATTCCACCCCATTAGACCTGGCTGTTTCTTTATTTTTCATAATTATTTGGTTGGTACATGACTTTCTAGAAAAAAATAATTAAACCATGAATCTTCACATTATTTACAGTTTTTCTCATGTTATTAAGCTGTAATTTGACCAAGAGATATGAACATAATTTACCATATGATTGCATAGCTTTTAATGTGTGCTTCTGCAGTGAATAGCAGCTATTAAGTTAAGTGGTTTGCCCTGTAAAATGACATGATGTCATAATATTTCTCTGAAAATACAGAATTAAGTATCATTAAATCCTATAATTAGGTAGCTATAGGTTATATTTGCAACTTCAAAAATGGAGTCAGGCAGCCTGATTCCTCTTGCTGTAGTATTCCAGGAATTTTGTCAAAACTGTACAAGAGCAAGTGGTGTGCTTTACAGAACATGAGCTGCTTCCCCAGCCCTGTATTTCAGTGTAATTCCCTTTTTCTTCTCTTTCCAGGAACTGGGGGTTTTCAACATGTTTGTAACAGCAAAGCAACTGCTCCAGGAGTGTGTATGTTCTATTTTGAAATAATAAATCTCATTTTAGTGTCTATTTTTCTTATTCTTCACAAGTCATGTGGATTTCATGGATGATAGTGCATGATTGATCATAAAATATTTTTTTTGCTTTAGACAAATATTTAGTCTTCTTTATCTTTGTCAAGTTTTCTTAAAGTTTTTGACAGGCTTTATTATTTACTGTTTATTTTAAATCTTTATCTAGTTCTAAAATAAATAGTTACTTCTTTTTGGTGAATTGAACCTGATTTGTATTAGTTCTACACTTTTAATTTATTTTCTTATTTTAAGGCACAGGATTACTTTATCAACTGCTGTAGTTAATTGATGCCTGGTGTTTCCCCTCATCTATTTTCACTTTTACCTGTGAAGGTATGCAATGTACCTACATGGCTATAATATAATTTTTGTTCAGTGCTATATATATTTTAAGATATATATTATTATATAATGTGTTTTTATATATTAATATACATATTAAGGTATATATTAAGAAATATAGATTTATATTTTTTAGAACAAACTATTGATTAAAAGCTCATAACTCTTACACTGGAGGGATGTATCACAGCACTGTTTTGAAGCTGACGGGTGATTCTGTCCCTCTGAGGCATGACAAGGACTCCGCTGATGGATGCAGTGAAATAAATGCTTTGTGCCATCTACTGGTGCCGCTGGGAGCTGCGGGTCAGCCCGCAGCCGGAGTTGTGACGGACTCAAGCGTGCAGTGTGGGAAAAGGAAACTCGCTGTAAATAACCAGAATGATGTTTATTATTTTATGTCTTTAAGTGCTAACCGATGTTAAACACGTGCTAATTAACTCACGCATTAACCCTTTTCTAACCCCTGCCTTCCCAACCCTGCCCTAAAACTTTATCCCTGTTTTTATAGGCTCTGAAAACATTTTGTTTTACAGATAGGTCAGTCATGTTTTAACGGAGTGGAGCAGTTCAAGCTGGTAGAGTGCGCTGTGCATGTGGTTTGTAGAGACCTGTTACTCTTTCTATAATAACTCCTAATTACAATATATGTCATGATCACTTATAATTAAATATAACTTCCTCAAACACTTTCTCCCTTATGGGTTTTCTCTGGTGCTGGTTCCCTTGTTAAGCCTGGAGTTGCAAAGCTGCTGGGATGGGAGACTCCAGCCTAATTCAGTGCGGGGTTAAATAAGGCCTTTTAGCTGAAACCTCTTTGTATCCTACAGCCTCATAATAGGCTATTGTATTTTCTGGGGTTTTTATAAGGCTCAGATGTCACACTCAATTCTTGGTTGTTTCACTACCATCAGCGTTATCACTGGTGTGTTTAATATATTTGGTGTACATTGTGATTGTAAGTATTATTTGTTCTTTCTTTGCTGGTTTTTACTTATATATCTCTCAGGGGCATAAAGAGTGGATCCACAAATGCTCCAGCAACCCTCCAGTTATGTTTGTTCTATGTAAAGGGAGAAAATCCAAGAAATTATTAGCAAAAATACCCAAAACAAAATAAAAAAAAAACAAACCACCAAAAAAATCCAAGTCCTTTCCAGTTTAGAATATTATGTGCCTCTGTATCATGTTGAAGGGTCCAGATACTTCACTTGCTTACACACTGAAGAGCTCATTCCCAGATGAAGTGTAGCCTGCAGGAGAGACATCTGGCCTAGAAATGAGGATTCTCTTGGCCTGCTTCAAGTGAAATACGGTTAACCCTGTCCAGAAGGGAGGTTATTTTCCTCATTTGCAAAGGGCTTTTAGATTTTTTTGTTAAAAACATTGTATAAGCAGCTGTATAATGTATTTTTGTGCTGGTTTTGATACATGTAGCTAGTGATCAAATTGTATATCCTTTGAGAAACTGGATGGTTGGGATATTAAAATTCTTTAATTTGGAATTTTTTAAATGCATATGTATGTATTAAAACATGTTACCTGCTACAAGTACAAGTACAGAAATCTATACAGGAAATTAGTTTGATTTTATATTTCACTTCAAAGTGCAAATATCAATTTAATCAATTTTCTGCTTTCAGAAAACCAGAATTTTAGCCAAGTATGAACAGGTGAATTAAATACAATGCTATAGAAAGGTATTAAAATACTCAGCTTTTTAATATTTAAGTTTTTTCTTCTCTTGCAGGTAAATGCTCCAAACAATCATCTTTGCTTTTTTTGTCACTAATTGCTATGCCTGGGAAAACAAACTGCAGTAAGTGCACAGTTAACGTGAATTTTTATGGGGGGAAAAATAGTTAATTATTGCAACAGTTGAGCTACTATGATCAGAGCAGTGACTCATGCAAGTGAAGCATATAATTGTCCATGTAATTTGTTTGAAGTCAGCTGGGTTCCAGCATTCTTGTTCCTGTGTGTAGCTGCTAATTTTTCTTTAGTTATTTTCCCTTCAAAGTCTGCTGGAATTTGCTGCGAGGTTGTTTTTTTTTTTTATATTATTGTAAGAAAGATATCAAGTTGTGTCTGACAGGCTTAGAGGGAAAAAACTGCTCATTTCCACGTCCCCAGCTCCTATCAGGAGCAAGGCTGAAAATGATTCCCATAAGACTCTGGCACATCTCACAATTTTATTGTTTAAACCAGAAGAAGCTCACGATATTTATATTCCTTCTTATTCCCTTTTTAATGACTTTTATTACTACTCTTACACTCTGTCATCTGTAAAAGGCTGTGAATTTGGGTTAGAGTCACTCCAGTGGGAAGTATTGTAGACTGGAATTCAAATCTAACCTACTTTGTATTGCTGGAAGAAAAGAGCACACTTTTACTCTGGGCAAGCTGGAATCTGCTGCTTAGGATTGAAGCAAACTTTTACCTTTTTTGATATACTGAACACGCTTTGTCTGCAGCCTCTAGGAATCAGGAGAAAATGTCTGTGGATGATCTAATATTTGCAGGTTTATACAAACAATTTTTAGTTCAGATCCTACCGTATCCCAATGAATTAAAAGAAATGTTTTAAAAGAAATTTATACAAATGGGGAGTGCTTTTCACTAATAACTTTGTTTCTCCTAAATTCCAAATATATTTTCTGTTCCTCTGCATTTTGATCCTAAAGTCACTCCAGGACACATGGGTAGAACTGGCACAAGTCCCACAACTTCCAAATGCCATGTGTACCTATACCTGTAAGGTTTTTATACAAATCCCACACCCTATGGGCTTGTGTCCATGCAGAGCACAGTTGTCTTGCTTTTGTTCCCAACACAGGTGAGTTGATTTCAAGACAATGTGATAGTAAATATTTCTTTGTGACAGGAACTGGCAGGTTCTGTTTAATTCCAGCAGCAGGGCCCCAAGGTCCACCATTGCCATAAAATTACCTGCAGAAGGATTTGGGGCTCTTAGCAGGCTTTCATCCTGCTGAGACAAGAAAAGAAGTAACAGCCACCAGTTGCTGACCTAGATTAGTCAGCATACAGGTTTTTTAGTCTTCAGAGGACATCATGATGGAGACAAGATAAGATACTGCAGGAGGATATGGAGAGCCAACTGGAATGACTCTTAATGCCTTCTATCATTTAGTCATGAGGTTAAAAAATAAGGAAAATTTCCTTTGGGAGGAAAGGTGATTTGATAATACTGGTATAAAATAAAAATTACTATCAGTGGTGAAAATGTGCTCTTAGGACAGAATCAGTACTTCTGGGCCTTATGGGAATCATTGAATCTGGTGATATAGAGTCCATTAATTATTGTGGATCACTAACAAGTAGGAAAGTTTTTCTGGATACAAGAGTTCCACCTTGTATCCACAGACAAAACTCTGGGATTTGGCAGGTGTTGTTCATCCTAAAGGAGCTCTGTTGGAGAGAAGGGATGGTAGAGCCTTGGATTGCAGGAGGTCTCGTGCTGTTTCCCCTGAGTAAAACATTCATGGCTGGAACTAAAATCAAATGGAATTAATCTCTCAGGGTTATGTTTTGTGTCTGAGAACACAGTGAAGGCAACACACTGGCCATGGTAAAGCACTTGATACTTTTCTACTGTCTAAAACTAAGCAAAAGCCAAATCTTTAGGGCCTAACAAGCTTGGATCAACCTCCTGAAGCCTTGCATCAAACCCTCCTTTCTGTCTTGATGTCTTCCCTGACACTCTGCTCATTAGGAGCAAACTCCTCCATCCCTCCACTGTGAAACTTGCACTTTATTTTTTGCTGCCTTCTGTACTGACTGTACAGCCCTGCTTTTAGCACCAGTACAGGAGTGATCCAGGCTCCTCCTTTGACCTCATATGGCTTCTGTTCCTGCTTTACCCAGCCAGGTCTTTCACATGCCTCCTATGGCACTGCCACCCCTTTCCATGTTCCAGGACAACAGGGAGCAGACAGCTGGCCTTCAAAGCCCAGCAAACTCAGAGTCAGGCTTCTCTCTGCTCCTGGAGTTTATAACCTTAAAGGAGCCCAGCACAGGGTCCAGCCCTTTGTGCTTCTGAGGAAGGTTTGTTATGTTGGAAGGTGAGAGAAGGAAAGGTGGAGGATCACAGAGGAGTGAGCATTTTTTCAAGGCAGACATCTGATTATCTTGTTCTAGACTTGAGAGCAAAACCCTCTGCATGGTACAGACAGTGCTAGGCAGAGGCTGGCTGCTGTCCCTGGGGGTCTGGCAGAACAGGGAGCAGGAGCTGGATTTCTCACAGGTCAAAAGAGAAAGTTTGGTGGTAGGAAGAACAGGAAAGAGAGAAGTATGTGTATCCTTCCTCCTCAAGTAGTCTCTTAAACACATGACAGATTATTAAAAAAAGCTGTGTGAAGGTAAGACATTGCTACTCCTTCCATCAGAGGTTTTGTGTTTAGGGCCCCAGTTTGCAAAATCAGTTTCAGGTCCACATGTAGCAGTTAGGCCAGAGAATTGATGAAAAGATGCCTGTTCTCTCAGTGTTGTCTGTGCTTGACAAAATAACAGCCTGAGAGCCTGTTTTCCTGTGTGGTAAACACAACACAAACTTCACTCCAAGCTGCATCAGGGTCTCATTTATTTGCAGCAGGAACTGTGTAACAAGCCACCTCACTCCCGATTTCCTCTCCTGATGGTATTTTCACTTCTCTGTCACACTGGCTTCACTCCCGGCTTTACCCTGGCTGCTGGAATGTGCTCGAGCACGGCCCAAAGAGAGGGGCTGAGCTGGGAAAGGTCAGGGCAGCCTGGGGCACAGCGAGGAGCTGGCTGGGCAGTGGAAAGTTACAGCCCTGAGCTCCTGCAGGAACTGCCCTGCTCCTTGGGAAATGTGATACCTGCTCAGCAGAGTCCGTGTGGAAAAGGCTGAGTGCTCTTCTTCGAAGTGCTCCTCTCGTTTGAGGGGAGGAGGGAGTTTAGGGTGATCTGTCATGTGTCTTTACTAGAGGAAATTTGCTTTAATCCCACTAATCTAAATCTGCTACTTATAGACTGCAAATATTTGTGCTTTATCAGTATTTCTTTACTGAAAACTGTCATGATCTCAAGCATGATAATTCTGCATAAAAATGATAGCAAGCATGACTCAGTATGAGAAGAGTGATGGACAAAAATAGAATGGGACTGGATAAGAATTGACCTGTCTTTATTCCTTCCCTGTGTGTTGCATCAGAGCCCAGAAACACAGCTGGGCAATAATATTTGCTAGCAGCTGTTTGTGTTTCAGAGGGATATGCAGTGGGAAATCAATGGTAAATCCCAGTGTAAAACTGTCTTTCATCCACAAGAAAGAGCTGTTTGTCTAAATTTCATATGCTGGATGTAATGTGGAATTTGTCGTTCTACTTTTTGTAGGAACTCATTCAATAGCGTTTAATTTATTTTACATCACATTCTAGTAACTGGTATAAAAAAAGATCAGGGTGAAGGTTCATGACAACAGTCCAGCTATTTGGCACAGGTTTTCTGTAAACAAATCAGTGAATTGTTCAACCAGTGTGCAGTAAGAATTCCCCAATGCCTTCTGAATGAATGTGCTGCAGTTACAAGGAGATTTCATTAACTAATGTGAACCTCCAAAAGAAGATGTAGTACAGAAAGAAAACCTTGCAAAATGCACATTGCAATTGTAACTGGAGCTGTGGGTCATGCAGCATGTTTTTGGGCCTGGTTATTTGGGAAGGATGAGTTTTTCCTTACTGTAAACTGACTGTTCTGCTTATATTTCAGTAATGCCTCAAGTCTGATAAGACAAGGAAGTGACCAGGAACTTATTGGTCTTGGGAATCCTGTGATACCTAAAACAGCAGTACTCTGGGCTGTCATGGACCTGAAAGTGGTTTGGCCATTCTGTTTAGAGACACACAAAAATAAAAATATATTTCATAGTGTTTGAAATACCAGCATGTCTCTAGAAACTTTTATCAGAAAAGATAAGGGTTGGAGCAATTCAAAGTTTATTAGACAAGGCACATTGTCAGTTCAGGGTGACTTTAAAATACAGGGCAATCTGTATGGTTTTAAGTCTTGGGAAGTGCATTACTCACTGATGACTAAACTCTGACACTGCACAGAGACAATTCAGAATTTGAGTTTAGAGTATCACTAGAGATGTGATTTACAATGCTGGTCAGAACAAGCTGATAGCAGCCATGAAAATGAAACTATATAGATAAGCTTTGGTAATATACCCCACACGTATCTTGCAAGCTGCTGAGCATTTAGCACCTGCTTGCTACTGTTTTTCACATCCCTTCACTGTGAGAGGCCATGTGTTAACACAGAGTCTAGCAAATGACTCCGAAATGACAATCTTATGCAATAACTGCAGCATTTCAAATGTTGCTTTGATGCTTTCAGTGCTTCTAACGTTCTGTTCACACAGGAAGTCAGGCAGGCTGGTTTAAGTGGCTGCCCAGCTTTATGGTAATGGGAGCAAGAGAACCTCTAGACAGGAATCCAGCTCCAAAACTCTGTGCTGTCCATGAAATTCTTTGCTTTAGGTCTTACTCATGAACTGCTCCATAAAATGCCATGGTGATAAGGTCCGTGGGTTAAACCAAGTGACCATATTGAGAAAGGGCTGAGACCTACATTCCAGCCTTGTTCCTGATCACTTGACTGGACATGAACAGCTTTTCAGGAGCTCTCTTCCCATATCAAAGCAGATAATCAAAGCAGAAAGAGAGAAAAGCAATGTTCTGAGCTGGATCTGTGTCCTCATTTAGTTAAATATCTAATCATGCACTTTTCCATAAAGACTGGGGTAAAGATGGCATTTGTCACTTCATTGTGACA